GATGCTGGGGGCAAAACAGCTTTTTTAAGCTGGCTCCCCCCCAGCACTGGCTTCTGAGCCCCCACCCTGCTATCTCTGAGGCAGCAAGGGAGAGGAGGGAAAGCGAGTAGTCGATATGCCAGCCAGCTACTTATCTACGTCCCTACGCTGGGCTAGATGGACCTTTGATCTCACCCCGTATGACTATTCTTATGTTCTTAGTAGTGTCCCAACAATTTGTCTTTGTTGAAGAACCTAGTGCTGTCTCTCTAGGTGCTGGAAATAGTTTATCTAGTTGCCAGTGAGAGAACTTAGAAGAATCTCTCCCAGTATGCTGTTAGAATATGGTTTTGTTTTGGCAATATTCAGGAAAAATCATGGCATAATGGGCAAAAGAAGTAGTGTGTTTAGTAAAAGGTAGGAGTCATGTACATTGTTGTGCATCTGAAGTTACATTTTATTTTTAATGCACATAACCGTGTGTGACGAGGGGTAAGTGGTTTAGAACAAAGAAATGATTAAACAAGGTTTAGCTTTTTGTAAATTTTCACTGTATCTTTCCCCCTACCCCCAAAAGAAACACTGAAACACAACAGCTACATCTTTAGAGATGCTTAGAGAACATAGGTCTGGTCCAGTATGGTAATTTCTGAAGTCAGTACACTGTGTCTACCAGTAGCCAGTACCATATGCTTTCACAGGATGGTAAATAATACCCCACACGTAGGCTCGTTCGGCACTTAGGCTTCATCCAATCTTAATAGAGATTGGTTTGAGCCCTGAATTAAGAGGCTTAATAAATACCCTTTCTAAAATGTCTTGCTATAATACCGGATATTCTTGTTACCTAGGGATGTACAAAAAATGTACTCTAATGACACCTGAATGGGGTTCAGTTCCTCAGACTTGTCACCCAAAAAGAATGCTTCAGGTTTGCAAACCTCCCTTACATACTTTTTAAGTGAAGATTGATACAAAGAATTAATGTAGTTTCTCTGCAATGGCCTATCTTGTCTTTTTGGAGTACTTCTCTAGGATCCTGATCATCCAGTAGCACCCTGATTCTTTGGCAGGCTTCCTGCTTCTGAGGCACTTAAAAAATGTTTTTGCTCTTAGTTTTTGAACCTTCTGCTACTTGCTGTTCACATTATTTTTTGGCCTGCTTAACTGTGTTTGTACATTTGACTTGCCAGAGCTTATGTTCCTTTCTATTTTCCTCAGTAGGAACTGACTTCCAATAAAGGTTGCCTAACTCAGCAGTGGGCAATAAGCTGGAGGCATTTCACCAGGGTTAGCTCCTGGTGGGCCGCTGTCATTTTATTTACCTGAGCCTCTGTAGGTATGGATATTTGCAGCTCCCACTTGTCACGGATTTCTGTTTCTGAGTAATGGAAGCGGTGGGAAGCGGTGCGGACTGGAACACCACTTCCTCCAGCTCCCATTGGCTGGGAACAGTGCTCCACAGCCAACAAGAGCTTCAAATGTCTGTACCTGTAGAAATGCAGGCAAACATAGTGGTGGCAGCTGCTCTGCCCCGGGCTTCCTGATTCAGCCGCTGGTCAGTTTTAGCAGCGGCTGAATCGGGGAACCTGGGGGCAGAGCGGCTCCAATGGTCCGGCTGCCTGGAGCACTTCCGGGTTCCTGATGGTGCCAGACCATCAGATGCCGGATCATCGGAGTTTTACTGTAATAGTGTAATTGATCAACCAGTAAGCAAAAGCGTATAGGTTAATGCTATAGACTTCCCTTCCTGCTCTCCCTGTCCCCCTAGCACATTTTTTAGCAGGCTGGCCAGCAGCCTGGCTCACTCTTGGCTTGCAGTGGGTCTGGGAGCTCAGATGTCCCCTAGACAAGAGCTGCTGCCACCCTGACTGCTGCCTCTTTATCAGAGGCAGCAGCACTGGGTGACAGGCAGCCAGTCTGCAAGGGGAGCTGGTTTTTAAACTGGCTCCCCTCACAGACCAGCTCCCACCTGGCACCCCACACTGCTGCTCTCTGATACTGAGGCAGCAGCATGGTGTGGCAGAGGACTCCTCAGGAGTGAAGCCAGAGTGCACTGGGTGCCAGCCCTGCCCCTGGGTACTGTAGAATAATCGATTAACTGATAAGAATTCTTGAGGTTACTCGACTATTCAACTGATATTTAACATCCCTATTGTTACCTATGTAAACATCCCTCTTGACTTTTTATGCATTCTTGGTCTCTGTGGTAGTGAGCTCCAGCGTCTACACTGTGTGGGTAAAGTACTTAATCTAGCATTGAGTTAATTAAGTGTACTCATTTTGGGGTGGTCAGAGTACTTGTTAGCTTCCTTTACAATCCAGGAGTTAAATCTGCATTTTTTTGAAAGTTTAAGTGAAATTTAACTGTTAACTTTCTAATCTGCTGGGCACCAAGAAACCCATGCTCTTATTATGGTCACTTCTCAAAACTTGTAGAACTTGATATTTCTGCCCATTATGACAGAAATCCAGCATTTTATAGACCTACATGTATTCATTAAGGCAGCCCAGAACTCCCAGAGTGAACTGTGAGGCTTCCAGATAAAATCTTTCTTTTCAGATTTGGAATAGTTAGGTCGTGTGCCAGTCATCTCATGTGACAGGTAGCAACATCAAATGACAAAATTCTTGCTTCTCCAAGTTGCATCCTCCCACTTAACTCTGGACAATGAAACCATGGAGTAGTACCTTCTCCTGCTTATCACCTTGAATAGACTAGAAAGAAAAAATAGGCATGAGGTTTAGGGGGGAGACTTAGGTTTGTTTTATACTGTATTCAAAAACAGGTGTGACTAAAACATACCCATGCGGTTTAACCTTTCCCAGTGTGGCCTGAACCAGGATCTTCCATGTGTTCCTAAGGTCTGATTAGCAAGGTTCTGCATCACAGAAGATCAAGACATACATTTTTAAAAAAATGTGGAGTGTGTAACTCCAGAGCTTAAGTTCCCTCAAGCTCCTTGCAGGAGTCCTGTGTCTCGTGTCCGATCTTGCGCGAAGTTGGGTATTAGGCAGTGTTCTTCAGCTGCACCACTCACAAGCAGTCATCTGTGTCACATACAGATTCTTGGTGCTCAGTGTTTGCCAAAAGCTTATGATGAACGGGGGTACTTTTCGCTCTCAAGGAGCAATTGTAGACCTTCTCTTAAAGAATATTTCTTGGAGGGGGGCTCTGTTCAGGTAACTTTTGGGCTCAAAAGATTTTCATTGATGTAACCAATTTTTAATCTGTTTCTGGCTTGAAAGCATAAACTCCTAGGACAATGTTATTGTTGTCGTTATTGCTTTTTCATTCCTTCACTCTGAGGATATCGGAGTGGGTAGCCCCAAATATTAGCAGACTTGCAGCTTTGGTTTTCGGGATAGTCCCATGCAGTAGGCTGTTAAATTTAGCCTTTGCTGCATGAGTATTTCTGTTTCTAACTTGTGACTGCTATGGCAGTCATTATGGAAAAGTCATGTTAATGTCATATTTGAAGAAAGGGCTTCCCGTTCTTAAAAGCAGAATTTCTCAGGCAGCAGCAAACAAATTAGGGTTTCCTTAACAAACCTCAAAATCATGCTGAGCCCACGCAGTGTTACTATCTTGACTAGGAGTTCAGTTCCAGGATAGTTTGCATCTAGACTTTATGGCAGTGGTCCCCAATGCGGTGCCTGCTGGTGCCATGGTACCCGCCAGGGCATTTATGTGCATCCTCCTAGTGATCAGGGCCGGCCTGAGCCATTCTTGTGGCCCCCGGGCACGTGGCACATGTGTGGCCCCGCCCCCTGAGTTCGTGGCCCCGCCCCCTGAGTTTGTGGCCCTGCCCCCGGCAGCCCCAAAAGGTTGGGGACCACTGCTTTATGGGATAGCTTCACAAAACCTATTCTAGTTCTTGGGTCCAAAACATGCTGTAATTTTGTAGAAGCTTTGGAAAGCCAAGTGAGCATGAGCTGTCAAAATTCTTTGACCTATTTGAGAGATGGGTTGGAGTGCAGCCCATAGATGGATAAGTAAAAGCAATGTAAAAACTTTTGTTGTTCACCATTATATAACAGTCACTGCTTAGAGTGCTCCATCCTGTTGGCAACTTTTAAGTCAAAATGGAACATTACACAGCTATTCTCAATTGGTGGCATTTTTACCGCATGCCTAGTTTCTAGTTTGTGTGAAGAACTTTAAAATGGGCTTTTTTCTTTATATAATGGCTGGAAGACTGAAGCTAGTGTTTTTCCTTTTTTAAATGCAGGGAGCCTTGCTTATCAAAACTAAAGGATTATCATCACAATTGCATAGATATTTTCTTGGGGTATGTCTATATTGTGGGGTTTTTTTCCGGGATACCAGGGAATGCATTTTCTCTTCCCCTTTTTTTTTTTTTTTTTTAATACCACGAGGAATAAGGGCTCCTCCGAAAAAGGAGGCTTTTCCGGAAAAGCAATCGGAAAAAGCTACACAAATTGTGGAGCGCAGTTTGGGTAGCTTTTTCCGAAAAAAAGGCTATAGAGTAGATCTAGCCTTGGAGAGGTTGTTGGATTTTATGTTCCAGCCACAAGCCATGGCAGGAGTAGGAAGAGGAAAAACCATAACTGCTATTTATGTTGGTTAGTGCTTGTCAGCCAAAATCAATGAATTGGGTTGAAATTGGTAATTGAAAGCTCTCTCTCTCTCTTTTAAATGCGTGGCCAGGGCTCTGTGCCTGGAAGAAACTGGAGGGACAGAGCACAGTTGAAGGTCTCTTCACAAGAAGAGCCACCTATTTGCTGGGAGGGGGGCAGGGGGTGGTGGTATCTGTGGAAAAGTTGGAAGACAATTTGAATATATTACTATCCTTACAACTGCCTGACTTAAGGAGCCCCCCTCTCCCTGCATTTACAACTGCCCTGCTTCAGCCTAGCATGGCCTCTCAGCAAGACACAAGGTCAGCCAGTCTTCCACAGCTCTGGCTGGCTCTGGGAGACATGGTGCTGCCTATCACCTGGCACAGTCCCATGCCGGCTCTGGGCGCAGCTCGCACCACACCACAGCTCTGGCTGGCTCTGGGAGACATGGCGCTGCCTACCACCTGGCACAGTCCCATGCTGGCTCTGGGCGCAGCTCGCACCACACCGCTGGTTCTGGGAGACACACGGAGCCACCTGACCCAGGCCCCAGCCAGCTCTGGGTGTATTTCACAGCACGCCACTGGCTCCGGGACACGTGGTGCCTCCTGCCACCCGGCACAGTCCCAGCTGGTTCTGGGCCTGGCGCGCTGCAGACTACAACTCGCAGGAGGCAAAGTGGGCCAGGAACAGAACCCCCATTTATAACATTGCACCTATGGGAAATAAAGATGTGACTTGTGATGCCTCCACTTACGATGGTTCTCCAGGAACCAATTAGGTTGTAAGTGCAGGGATTGCCTGTATTGTATCCATTTTTAGAGCTATTAGGTTGTAAGTGCAGGGATTGCCTGTAGTGTATCCATTTTTAGAGCTTGTTCTGTCTATAGTTGGGGGCTGCCTGCTCTGTGCCACCTTTCAGCCACCAGTCTTTTTGGAAAAACCATACCTCTAAAGAAAACTTGTACTGAGTGTGTCCTTCTCCTCATCCAACCAAGTCTTGCTTTTCACACTTGATCCCACTTCTTCCCCCTTCCAAAAAGGTGAAGCAACTCTGCACAGATTTTTTTTTTTAGTCTCTTCTTCCCCCTTCCAAAAAGGTGAAGCAACTCTAGACTAAAAAAAATCTGTGCAGATTTAGTGACATGGTTTAACCTTGTCTTTCCTTCTGGGCTCCCCTCTGCCCTAGAGTACACAGGTCACTCATGACTGTCATATGACTGTGTGTTGATTTGTAGAAGGATGCTTGTATAGTAAGTAATAATGCACTCTTCCTTGCAAGGATTTGAAGGACCTACCTCCTTCACGACAACAAAGGTATAAGAACCTGGAATCTTGTCAGCATCGTCCATTCATCTTCATACTGTCTTAATTAGTTATTTTGTTAGGGTATGTGCACAATATTTTTGAGTCCTTAGTGCTTGTCACTCAATTTTTAAGCTGTTATTTCAATTTATAGGTCACTTCCTTTCTGATGTTGATGTTTGCTTCAGAATAGCACATTTGAATGGCCTACAGTGGACCTTTTGAACAGAAGGCATTTCCTTGAGAACAATTTATTTTTAAATAAAAATTCTTTTCACGATATCCTGTCTGATTAGTATTTCGTTTCTCTCCTTTCCTTGGTTCTTGAAGTCCTTTTTTAATCAGATTACATAAGAACAGCAAAGTTTTTAAATAGCAACTAGCCAATGACACTTTTGGTACTGTGGTCAGTATTCTGACATCGTCCGTCAGAGTGTGGAAGTTGTTACAAGCACGTCTTTCAGAATATTTGGTGTTCTGCAGAGTTTGACTGCCATCAGTGCAGCAGTTTGTCCTGGGTTAGCACAACTTCTTCCAAGGCAATTGTTACCTATGTCCATGGCACTTAGTTTAAACTCCCCAGAAACCTCTGGACAACTTGTTTTTATTATTCTTTGCAGAAGATCTTGTGAATACACACAGTGCCATATACAAAGTTGTCTGAATAGAATAGAGGAACTGGTGCACATGGCTTGAGCTTGTTTAGGAAGAGACTTTCTTGTGAATCAGGAAGCATTTGTGACCAGTCTTGGGGTTTACATCCCTTTCCTGTTTTCTCTCTCGTGTGTGTGTTGTGCGCTTATATTTAGCCATGCATCACAATTCATAAAGCTTTCAAGCTTTGTGTTGCTACCAGCAAGGACTCTTCTTATCCATTGAAGTTGATGATAATACGAACAGTATTGCCGTAACTTCTGCTTTTGTGCTGTGGTGGGCTCATACAACTTATTTTTTGTCATAGAATAGGAGTAAAATACTTTAAATATACTGCTTTTTTCATTCAGTTGAATGGTCGATTGATCTGTTTTTTTGTCAGTAGGACAGATGCTGCACTGTTACCTTGAGCGTCTCTCCCAGGGCAAAATGTGAGCTTGGGGCTTGTGTGTGTTAGAATTTGAGATTAGCATAAGGACAGGCACATGTTTGTTTTCCAGTGCTAAATCTGGAGCCCTTTTGAAGGGCTTAAATGACGGGCGGGCAATAATTTTTGCTCGGGGGCCACTTCAAAAATGTTTGACGTAGCCCCAGGCCACTCCAAAAGGTGTGGGGCTACCGCACTTCCAGACCATGATTGGTCCAGGCAGTGGGGGAGCCCCGTTGCCCCCCTTTCCATTAGGCACCATACCCTGGAAGAGGCTTGGCATGCTCCCCCACCCCCAGGCCAATCAGGGCCTGGGGGCGGGGGAGCACGGGAAGCCTCCTTCCACCCTGAGAGGAACACCTAGCACTTTGAAGTGCTGCAGGTTTCTTGCAGGGCCTGGGCAGGGCGAAGGAAGCTTGGTTGGCCTGGGGGTGGGGGAGCACGCAAAGCCTCCGCTCTCCTTCCCCTCCCTGTGAGTAGCAAGTGGCTCTTCAAAGTGCCGCATGCTCCTGGCAGGGCGGGAGGAGGCTTCACATGTTGGCCTGCCCCATGACCCTAATTGGTTTGGGGGCGGGGGAGCAGCAGAGCCTCCCAGGCCAGGGATCTACCCGCTTGGTGGGCCCGTGGAAGCCCTTTTGCCCATCCCGGGCTTAAATAAAACAGTTGGGTATTACGAGGGCTCGACAATTAGGGCGTTCTACTCGCCCGTGACGGGTAGATTTTAGCCTGGCACAACGCCGCAGCGCAGTGTGCACATGTGCAGTGTACCAAACCGTGCGGCTGGCAAGCAGGGCTCGCCGCCGCTTGTCAAGCCCTGGGTATTACACACAACCATTTGTTGTCTTTCTGACAGATGTATACTATAATGCTCTTCCCTTTTTTGAGATAGGAGGGTGGGTTATTTTTAAATGGAGGTGCATGCATGTGCTTCACCCTTCTGTTCACGTGGCTTTCTGAAATTCAGAAGAGCATCTGCAGACAGCCGTCTGGCAGTACATTGTTAGGATCACTGAGATGTTCATTCCCAGACCAGTGAAATATTTGTCATCTGAAGAATTCATTTTAAAAAACCCCAAGTATTGTATGTGGATTTGACTGTCTAGTTATTAGGCCTTGTCTGTGTAAGAAGGAACACCTATCGAGTGGATTTCTGTTTTATAGAGGTTTTCCTTGAGTACTTTCAGGTATTGTCGGTTGTAGGGTTTTCACTTTTCATTCTTTTCCAGGGCCTAACTTCTTCTTCTTGTAATTTCTGAATATTTTAATAGTTAAAACGAGAATTTGCCCATCACTGATTCTGGTAACCTTTAAATAATTACTGCTTGCTTAAATTTCATACTGTGATCCAGCAGTTAATTCATGAAATGAATGGATAGAAAACAGACTAGTGAAAAGACATTTGAAAGATGATGGAACAATAGGCTGGTTATACTACAAAAGATGGGAAAATGGTTTTCGTCCACATTGGAATGGGGACCAATGGAAGGAGAAGTTATTGACTAACCATTCACATCACTTTCTCTGAGAAGTTCAGTTGTTACCATGACAGTGGCAAGAAGGATCTGAGACTTGGAGAAGGTATTAGAGATATTTCAGATCCTGCTGCACCTATCAGCAGCATTGAGACTGTGCGCTAATCCATTTAAACTTTTTTTCCCCCCAAACCACATAAACTAATCCCATGACGGCTCCCATAAATGTAGGCAGAAGAGAGTTTTAAAAGGGTGATGAATTTTCAGAGGCAGAAGTCAAGGAACTGCTGTCTATGTCAACGACTTCATGATAATCCACATGTGCGTAATATGTGGTGTGGATTACTTATCCTCTGTTTAAAGAAATTTATCTGCCTTGGAAGGGATAACTGAGATTCAGAGGAAGGAAAACATTCATTTTAAAGTTAGTCATCGGAATCCTTACACTGAAAATCAAGATAGAATGTTGTAACAGTATGGTGGGAATGTTGGATTGGTCCTTGTTGAAGAAATGTCCATGTGCATTACTCTAGTTCAGAGAAATAGAACAGCTAAATGACTGTCTCGTTTTGGATGAACTGTTGTTGGCCTTTTGGTTAAGATCATGTATAACTTCAGCACTCCAGGTAATGAGGGAATCAATAGCTTTAGCTAGGCTTAGGCCTGCTTGTGGTCAGCATCCAATCTCATTCCAATTCTGTGTCTATCAGTGGTACTAAGCAATGCCATGGCTATAAAATGGAGCCAGGTATCTGTTTTAGGTGCAGAATTGCCAAATACATGTCACTTGCCTGGGAACGCAGGTATCTGTTTTAGGTGCAGAATTGCCAGATACATGTCGCTTGCCTGGAGAGAACAGAGAGAAACTTTGGGCAGAGAAATTGCAGCTAGGTTACTAAAGTTGAGATGCTAGTGTAGTAACATACTGTGACGTAACTTTTGATTGGTTGCTTTTCTTAAAAGCTAAAGAAGGGGTGAGAGTAGCAGTAAGTAATTTTTTATTTAAAATATTTGCTCATTTTTTAAAGAACTACAGCAACCCTCCAGGCTATTTAAACAGGCTTCTGTTTTTCAGAGTTACATTTGAGTCTGCTTCCAGCAGAGGAAAGAATCTGTTTTGACTGGTTTGTTTAGAAACTTCAGAAGCCAGAGGATGTATTTAATGGTGAATGGAAAATTATCCCATGTAAAGTTTCTGGCCTTCTGTCAAATCAACCCACAAGATATGTCCAATTTTGCTGTATCCAAATGTTTTCCCACTCATTCATCTTGAACTGTGTTTAAAAAAAAACAAAAAACAAAAAACTAAAAAAGGGAGCAGTTTTTATCATTGAAAATCTCTCAACCACCACCTCTACCTCTCCAAAACGGTGAAGGCTTGCAGTTGTGATTCTGAAGTGCTACAAACAGAGAGACTGTAACTGCCCATTGTGAGTAATAGTCAAGGAAAAGGTGGTGATGAGAACATGCTTAGGTAGCATAAGGGAGATGATTGAAAAGACAATCAGTGGGGTGGGGGGGGAGGGAATTCTGGTCCCCCATCTAAAAAACGGGCTTATCTTGGATCTTATCCATAGAAGTCAGTAATCCCTTCTCCTTTTTTTAGTCCTGCTAAATTCTGACCTTCAGCATTGTTGTGTCAGTTCTTAAAGCTACTGGTGCATTGTGTGGAAAAAGTATTTGCTTTTGTCAATTTGAAATGGCTGCATGTCAATTTCATTGGCTGGTTCCTTGTTTTTATATTTTAAGTGGGGTCCTACCAAATTGACAGTCCATTTTGGTACACTTCATGGTCATCATTATGATTTTGAAAAATCCTAAATTCATGATTTCAGCTATTTAAATCTGAAATTTCACACCCAGTGTCTAGAGTCTAGACTCTCTCTCTCTCTCTCGGCAGAGGGATGTAAATGAGGCACTTCGAAAGCGCGAATAAAGCGGGGATTTAAATATCCCGTGCTTCATTTGCATAATTGCGCCATGGCGCTCTTTTGAACAAGTGCCATTTCGAAAGTAAAACTGTGGTCTAGACACGGTTCTTTTGAAAACGGCAGGCTTTTTCGAAATCCTATAAACCTGAGGTTTTACTTGCTAAACGGCGCTTGTTCGAAAGAGCGCAATGACGCAATCAGTCATAGGCTCTTATAATCAAATTTCATTATTTCAGCTACTTAAATCTGAAATGTCATGGTGCTGTAACTGTAGGGTCCTGAACCAAAAAAGTAGCTGTGTGTGTATGGGGGGGGGATGTTGCAAGGTTATTGTATGGGGGGTTGTGATATTACTACCCTTGTTTCTGGGCTGCAGGCATCAGAGCTCGGTGGCTGAAGAGCAGCAGTTGCTGGCTAAAGGCCAATTCTGAAGGCACAGAGCTGCCATCAGTAGTACCCCAGAAGTAGGGATGGCATGTTGTGCCTCTGTTACTGCTGTGCTGCTGCTGGTGGGATGCTGACTTCAAAGCTGGGTGCTGAACCAATAACCACCATTCTCCAGCCACCCAGCTCTGAAGGCAATGCAGAAGTAAGGGTGGCAAAACTGCAAGCCTCCTGCAACTCCCTTTTGGGTCAGGATTAGTGTTCCCTCTAACTTTTCCCATTCGTGTGTGGTATGAATTATGTGAACCAATGTGAAGGTGATCTGATACATGACTTTGATATCCGTGCATATAACCACTCATGTGGTAGAGGTGGGGGAGGGAGCTCAGAACTGGGGATGAGGTGCTCTGGGGAGTGGACTGAAAGAATTAGGATGCAGGAGGATGTTCTGGGGCTATAGCAGGCATAGAGGATTCCACTGCAGGTATGGGACAGCAGGCTATGCCCCCCACCCTCAGTGGATCTGGGCTAGTGCTGGAGAGGGAGGCAGGGGCACTGCAGGTATGGGACAGCAGGCTATGCCCCCCACCCTCACTGGATTTGGGCTAGTGCTGGAGGGGGAGGCAGGGGTTCCTGTTCTCCAGAAACACTGATGGTCGAATAGAAAAAACAAGTACAGGCAGTCCCCGACTTATGTCGGATCCGCACTTACGAACGGGGCTTTCTCGCCCCGGAGCTCGCAGGCAGCGGGACCGCCCAGAGCTCAGCGGTCCTGCCACCTCGACCTCCGGGGCGAGAAAAGCTGCTCCCGGTGCCCCTGGTCTGTTGGGGACCGTCTCCAGCAGACCAGGGGCATCGGGAGCAAACCCGCAGCAGCGGCGGTTTCCCGCGCTTCTGAGGCTTTGCCAGAGGCTTTGCCAGAGACCGTCTCCAGCAGACCAGGGACACAGCCTACATGCCTCTGTCGCCAGAGGCATGTAGTCTAGACGTACCCTCAGAGGCGCGGGACCCCTCCGCCTCCCCGGCTTTGCTCCGAGTGTCCCTGGTCTGCTGGGGACCGTCTCCAGCAGACCGGGGAAACCGGGAGCAAAGCCGCAGCTAGTGCGTGTGCCCTCCCCCCCCCAGCAGTCCAGGCTTTTGTTGTGGACCCTGGGGTAGAGCAGCTGGGGTGCTGCCGGGTTGGTCCTGCAGGGACCTACCTGGCAGCCCAGCTGTTCTGTCCCAGGCTCCAGATTCAGCCGCTGTTGAAACTGATCAGTGGCTGATTCCAGGAAGCTGGGGGCAGAGCAATTCTGGAGCCAGTTCCGACTTACATACAAATTCAACTTAAGAACAAACCTATAGTCCCTATCTTGTACGTAACCCGGGGACTGCCTGTAGTCAGTGAAATTTGTTTCTTACTTTCTGAGATGAACCGATTCACTTCAGTTCAAGGGTGGGCAATAATTTTTTTATGGGGGGGGGCACGCCAACAATTTGGAAAGTGGTC